GTCTGTGTGCACTGAATTTATTTAATACACGAGTTTCACAATTTGAGTTGAATTACTGAAATGAACTTTTCCACGACATTCTAGTTTATTGAGATGCACCTGTGTATATATATATATATATATATATATATATAACAAAAAGAGGAAGAAGTAGAAGAAGAAGAAGAAAGAAAGAAAGAAAGAAAGAATAAGAAGAAGTCCTTCATCATGTCCTGTCCTAATGTCCATTTTCAGTATATGACAACAAAGAAAGAATTGCATTGGTCAGACGGTTTTACAGGGTCTTTACCAGTCAAAAAAGGTTAGTTTGAGAGACTCAAGGTAGAAAATACACTTCAATAAACCTTCTTTCTGCCAGACAGCAATAGTTTTGTGTATTTCTGAAGGTTTTGCTCTGCAGCCTCTTTGTCAGTTGGTGGATATCCAGTCAGAAGGTCAGCGATGTTAAGGGTCTCTTTTTCTGGTGTGGGTGTTTCACTCAGATCAATGAGGCTTTCTCCAGCTGCAGGCTCACCAGAGACCCCACACGCACCCAAAGAACTGGAGTCCCTCATCAGCAGTTCTGCAACATCTGAATCCATGATTCTCTACATAACACCAACACATACTCACATTAACGGTGTAAAATGGACGCACAAACAAAGCTGAAAACAATGGTCTTCAGATTTATTATGCAGTGGCTTAGTAATGGTAACATACAAATACTGCAATGTAATGAGATGAGTGTAATGAGTAATGGGACTTACTCCATTCTGTCTGCACAGCAAGATTAGTAGATGCCACAAGAGGGCAGCAGAAGTGGCATCTTCTAATTTCTCATCCTTCAGGCATTTCTCTGACATTTGGAGGGCAAAGTTAATGGAATCCGCCTTATGCAAATCCTCCCTTTGTGAAAAAAAGAAGAAAAGCAGCAATCTAGTTAAGCAGATGGGGTTTCAAAGCTTTATTTAGCCTACAAAATCTGATTACTTTTAACTATCCTCCATACCGAGTGCAACAGTTGGGTTCTGGCAGTATAGTAAAAGTCCCATTTATTTTCTCCTTGGAGGAGAACAGATTTTTTTTTATTATATCTTTTAAATAAACCTTTAAAGACAGGCCTACAGTGATCTATGATGTTGTTAATAGAAGGTTTATGAATTTGTTGAAGCCATCAGCCCACATTTTTTCAACTTATTTTTTAAATAACCATGTTTAACAGCCAAATGTGGTTATTTTTAACTTTTTAATTCATCAAAAAATCCTGAAGAATTTTGAACCTCTCTTTCCACAAAATTTGTTCAGCTGTTCAACATTCATAAGTTCAAGATTGATAAGAAATTTGCTGTTTTTCATCAATTACAGACCTGGTTTCTATATCTATAATAAATTTCAAATCAATATTTATATTTTTAATTTCATTGTTATTTGTTTCATGGGATTACAGTCCATTCCTATACATTCCATTCCTATATCTATAAAGTTTTCAGACCTGATTAATGTCTTGCAAATTTAAGTATTATTGTAAGAGAGGGGTATTTTGGAATATCATACCTAGCCAGTGGTCCAGGTAAGTCTCTCATATTCTGCTGTTCATGTGTATCGCAAAGAATTACCTGAAATCATTGAAGAACAGATTTAATCCACCATAATACTTCATATTATGCCTTAAAATTCATGTTTGTACTGTGTCTCTATTACCTCCAGACTGTGGAGTTCCACTTGAGCAGGCTCACCCTCAGAGGCCAGGGCTGAACTGAGCCATACCAGCTGACCTGCAGGCCCAAAGCTCACTGCCACATGAGGGATGCAGAACTTTAGTGGGGCTACCTCCATTGGGTACAGCATCTAAATCAAATGACCAAATAAACCACAGCTATTCTGAGTCCAGTGACCAACCAGATTCGAGGACTGTAACTAACTGCTGCATAAAAGAAAATTAACAACCACACATTTTCTGCGCAAAAACACAAAGTATTAAAGTTCAGTATTAAGAAGACTGGTTGTGACAAACCTGTGTGAGATATAAGCTCAGGCTCTGTTCAGTACCATTGATGTACTGGCTGAGCTCATAGCTGCTCAAGGACACACCTGAAGCTTTAGAGTTGGCAAGCGCTCCACTACCATACACCTAGAGAAGGAAAAACAAAACAGCATGAGGGATAAACAAAAAGAGCCGGAATATATACTACTGTTCAAAAGTTTAGGGTGAGTACACTTAAAAAATAAATAAATAAAAAGTTATTGAAAGAAGAATCTACAGCTCACCAAGGCTGCATTTATTTGATTAAAAATACAGCAATATTGCAATTTAAATTAGCTGAATCTTATTTTAATGTGATGGCAAAGCTAAATTTTCAGCAGACATTACTCCAGTCTTCAGTGTCACAATATCCTTCAGAAATAATTTTAATATGCTGGTTTGATGTTCAATAAATATTTCTTATTATTGTCAAAGTTGAAAACAGTTGCTATGATTAATATTTTTATGGAAACTGTAGCACAATTTTCAGGATTTTTTGATAAATATAAAATTCAAAAGCACAGAATTTGTTGGAAATAGAAATAATTGTGAATATTTTTACTGTTACTCTCAATCAATCCTTGCTCCTTTCCTGTCTTTCAAAAAAAATCTTACTGTCCCCATACCTTTGATCCTTTGACTTCTATGTATAAGAATGTCAACTTTACTATACAGTCTTATGAAAAGTAATTTCTGGAAACAAACCTCTCCAGTTCCATCTCCATTTTCCATACTTTCTCTGTGCTGTCTCTCTGAGTCGCCACGGTCATATCGACTGTCTGTTCTATGGCTATAGCTGTTAAATAAATGTGTAAAATCACTTGATATTAAATAAAATGTACAAAATAATTGAATTGTTCTGGAAAAGTTTCAGTCATGACAGAGCATATAATGTATGAGTAAAGGCCATCAACAGACCCCTGCTGATCTAAATAAGAAGCTCTTACTGACTCCTGCTGCAATCCTCTGCCCTGATACCTCTCTGTTCTCCAGCAATCTGTCTGGCTCCAGCCACCACATCTACAAAACACCAGTGGGCTAAACATGAGTTTGAATTTTGGTGAGAATTATAAACTGAGGGCATGTGATTGAATATTTTGTACCTGGGAAGTTGTATTGTGATCTGTGATAACCATGATAATCATAATACCCATAGTCTTCTCTGTAGGGCCAGTAGCTGGAGGTGGGGTAGTCAGCCTGATCAGATATTAGCAGTTAGACCTGGGATTTTAGACTGTGCTTATCCATTGACAAATACTGACAAACAAGGTGCCGGATCTTCCACAATATTAATATTAAATACAGTTCACAAGATTGCAGTCAGTATAGGCTAAGTCTCTTATGCTCACCAGGGCTGCATTTATTTGATCAAAAATGCAGTAAAACAATAATATTGTGAAATAGTAAAGTATAAAATAATGGTTAAAATTTTTATTTAATTTCTTTCTGTTTTAATTTAATTTCTTATTTTTATCAACATTGAAATTAGTTGAAAATAATGCTGCTTAATTTGTTGAAATTGTGATTCCCTTTCAGTCGGTCACTCTCGACCGACTTGGGATCTCGCTTAGAGAGACCAATCTACTTCGAGTGTAAACTAAACGAGCCAATGCACATTGGCATGCGATTATTGTATCCAGCTGCCGCTGATCACAGCGTGAGTATAAGTAGGCAGCAGATGCAGCGCATATTCAGCTTTTCGCTTCGGAGCCAAGCGGTTCTATCGTTCTGCTCCTGACCTTCTACAAGTAGTAAAAACTACAGTCAAGCACGCTCTTCGTGGGCTCTCGTGCTGGTGGTACGGCGCTTCAGCGGCGGTGGTTTTCCCGTGTCGAGTGGGTTGCACACATCAGGCTGCACTACCCCTGTGTGTGTTGCAGACGGCCATCTCCCCTGTGCGCTTCAGCACACTAAAAGAGCAATTTCCAGCTAAAAGAGCTTCACGGGTGGAACATCTTTTTAAAGACGCGTCTTTTTAAAGATGTCGTACCATCCGTGCGTTTCTGGGTGCAGTCGTTACCTGGCGCCGAGTGATGGTCACGATCACTGCCTCTCGTGCCTGGGCATGAAGCACGCTGAGGTGACTTCGTGGATGACTCATGCTCCCATTGCGGGGGTATGACCATCTCGGAGTTGCGGACCAGACTCAGTTACCTGCAAGGGGGCGGAGTGCCCGTGCCACTGCCTAGATCTGGGGT